TCTCTGTGATATCTCAGTGATGGAGGGGATCCAGTGGGGAGCAGTGGGTGCTACTGAGGTGCAAAGTGATTTTTGCAGTGTCTTATCCCTGTGTCACCTACTCTGTGTGGATTCCATGCCCTCCCCCATTCAGATCCATAATCTCATCACATCCATATGATCCTCATTCAGATCAATAACTCTCTTGGAGCTAAAACTTCAGTGCCTTTACTTTCCATTATTGCTTTTTGTTCTCTCTTAGGTTTAAGTGGTGTTTGGTTGGGCTGTGATGTGTTTATTTTAAGTTGACTGAAGTCAGCTTGAAGTCAACAAGTGAATGTGGATCCCTCAGTGTGGAACTTCTGATTTTGCTGTAGCTCCTGTGGTGTTTGTAGCCAGTAGATAAGTTTCCATGGCTCCTTGTGTGTTCCCTTTCCATCCCACCTCCCCTTTCTCTAACCCCAGGGCTGGAAGTTCCCAGGCAGCTTCTTTAGTGTCTGTGAATAAAAACTAGAAAACCTGATTCAGAGGATGGTAGTACCTGTGTTTGGTGGGGAAACATTAATTCTTAGTGGCTCAGGAAGCCTTGTTGTTATAGAGCTGGTTCCTGGAATATCTGAGGAAATTCTAGAAGGGCGAGTGGGGAGCAAAGAAGAGTCAGAAAGTTCCAGTTTCTTTCTTGAGCAGTAGTAGTGGGTATGAGTTGAACACACAGTTTCTGACTGGGCAGAATGTGTTTTGCCCAACAAAGATGGACTGGGGGCACATTTCAACTGAGGTTAAAAGTGCCAGGGCCTGAATTCCTGAATATCGAGCTGGAAGTGGGTACAGCAGCCAAAGACTCGGTGTGAGCTTTCTCTGCAGAGTGCCTCTGGTTTGATCCTACAAGGCTGGAAGTGCAGAGAATCAATCTTTCCCCTTCCATCTCTGTAGCTCTCAAGCATCCTTAAAATTTGGGAGTATTTTAGTGTAGTTGGGATTAATGTGTCAGCCTGGAGAAATGAATTCTGAGCAGGTTCTGAATAATTTTCCTACTGAAACTAGTTCAAGATGAAACCTGTTGAAAAAACTACCTGTTTTGAGCTGCATGCAAATAGCCCCCAGAGGAGCATAGTTAGCCTTGAGGAATTTTAAACATAAATATGTACAAGATATTCTCAGAGTTATGAGTTGCAGTTAATAAGAGTGTTTGTGTTGCAGCTCGAGTTGGGAGCGGTAGATCAAAAGCATCTTCCATCTGAAATCTGGAGTTCTTTGCAGTGTCCCATTGTGATTTGCTGCTGGATTATGATGCAGGGTTTTTTAGCAGCCTTTCTGTTTTCATGGAAACAAAACTACCTTTTATCCTCAAATTACTTCAGTTTCGTGCTCTCTGCCATCCTTTGATGTCTGTGGTCTAGTTTAGCGTGCTTTATCGAAATCATAAGCAGTTAAAAGGATTACAGAGATGCTACTCTCATTAGTGTTCTTAAAGGCTTTGACAAATAAGAGGATCTGATGTGCAATGTAAGGAGATGTGAGTGTAGCAGTTGTATAACTAACGGTGCAACATGGGTAGGAAAATTTGGGTACTTGCATCTCTTTGCTCTGACAAAACCCTTCTCCTTTGTGTTGGTTTTCAGCTCAAAAGAGCGTCCCAGGTGAATGGCTCTGTCTGACCCTGTCAGGAGACTCCATATGAGTCTTCCAAGGAATCTGGGAGTCTTTTCTCCCTTATTCCAGGCTGTGGGAGCTCTGGTAGGGAGGGAATGGCTCATGATGTGAGAACCCTGAGTGGGGTTGGCAATGCAAGGCAGGGTTTTCCTGCCTGCTGGACTCTCAATCCAAAGTTCCAGGTAAGAAGCTCTTCCTGCTTCTCACTTAAATCAGCTTTAGGAAACTCCATTTAGACTGTGTGTTGTGTTTGTAGCAGCAGACGGGGGATAGGAGACATGTGTGTTTGCAAATATTTTTGCTGTTCTGGAGCAAATTGTCTGAGAAGAAGCAGAGCTCGTTCTGAACCGCCTCATGAACTGGGAACAGGATGTGGTTTATTTCCCACAGTGCCACTGGGAATGGCAGGGAGGGCAAAATTTGGTACACAGAGCTGTGTATGTGGAGTGCTGTGGAAGGGAGGTAATAAATATTTGTGCTCATGGCTGTTACAGGTCTGACACACCATCGTGAGGTGTGTGACAGAAACAAGTGGAAAACCCAGCAATGTCAGTCCTATTAAATACAGTGTAAGGAGCTTGGAAACCCACTCCTGTTACCTGCAGCTCCTGTAAAGTGGTTCATCATTTCCTGTGCCCTCTTAGGTCCAAAGGATGATTGTTCTTGGATCTCTTCATGGAAGTGTTGATATTCACAGGAGCACCTGGTGAAGTTCAGGGGGTGCTTTATTGTTCTTTTTTCAGCACCTGATGTATAACTGTGTTCCTGCAGTTAATGCTGAGGGCAGTATTTTGGTAACAGTGTAAGTGAGAGAGGAACTGCTGTGCAGAATTGTTTTAGACCCCCAGTGCAGAGTTTCACGTGGTGTGGTCAGAACTTCCTGAAAGAAAACTTCCCTTTTCTCAGCTCTTCGCTCCAGTGCTGCTCTTGACCTCTGGAGCATCGATTTGTGGCTTCAAAGGAATATGAAACATCTGGGAGGACATTGGAAATCTTGATGGTAATAATTAGGACTGGGGGGAGATCATAAATTAGTCTGACCTTCATAATTTATATGAATGTGTCTAATTCTAATTCAACTGTAATTTAGGAAAAAAAAAATTGATCTTTTACCAGTAGCTTTGCTGTGTGCTGATGTGTTCCTTGGAAGGGGTTACGTGGCTTTTTGGGAAGCAGAGTTACAGTGGAAATGTGTGTACCAGGACTAATGTGTTTGATTTGTTTGATGCAGAAAAACAATGTAGTAAGTTCTGCCGGGGTATAAAAAGGATGATATAAAAGGATGAGACTTTAACCTTTACTTTTGTTTTCTTACATAAGAATTTTTTTAATCGAAACTGGTAGTGAAACCTTGTTTTTCTCATAGGTTATATAAACATTTGACCCTTAGTTTGTCCTAAAACACATTCTTACTAAATCTTACAATAAACTTTGTTAGCTTGTAAATTATCTCAAGTTTTGACAACTAAGGATTTTATTCTTTTATGTCAGTATTATTTCAGCATGATTTTGTCTACTTTTCCCTCTCCCCTCACAAAATCAGCCACATCTGTATCTTTTCAGTGCTGCAGTTCAGTTTCTAGTACAAATGGTGCTGCAGTAATTTGTTTTATATTAGATTAAAAGACCAGGATATGAGATGTTTAGTGGCTCATATATTATTGGCAAGCTCCTGTCGGAAATAATGGATGTTGAGATGTGAAAAAGAAGTGTAATGTGCTAAATGAGAGTGACAAGGCCTTGTTTCTTTTGAGGTATGTGCAGAACACGGGGGGCACCTTGTGTGTGACTTGTGTTTGAATGTGGAGGTGCCAGAATTGGGTGTTTGACTGTGAGAGCAGGATCTGGGACTTCCCATTCCTTGTGTCCTCCCTGACAGAAGCAGTGGGCAAGGTGGAATTACCCATGGTCAGAATCCAGCCCGTGGACTGTCAGTTGTATCAAAAGGCTTGATTTTATTCCATCTCTCATTAATTTGTCTACTTTAAACCCAAAACTTGCCTTACAGGAAGAGCTTTGCATCTGTGGAATTTGACTTGTTGTTGTGTGAAGATTATAGATCTTGGGCTTGTTCTGTTTTGTTGTTTTCTTACAATATTTCGTGTCTTTGACCCAAGACAGCACTAAAATAATGTTTAGTTGTGATCTGGTTTAGATGGAGCAGTTTTAATGGTCAATATCTGAAATTTTTGTTCCGTAAGTATATATACATCAGCTCCTAGATGGCTTTCATCCAGTATTTCCTAAAAGATTTTGTCTCTCAGTAGTAAAAAACCCTCAAGGTTCTTCTTCATTGTGTATGTGAAAGCTTTTGTACACGTAGGTGCTGCAGTACTGGTTATTTTTCACACCCTGCTCTTGAGATGTGTTTGGTTTGATGAGACAGGGAATTTTTAGTTGGATTATTGTTGCTCTGCAGTGAATCTCCTGTGTTCTGAAGCCATCATTAATTTTAGCACTTGAAGAAATGAATGCTACTTCACTACTAATGTAATTAATCTCTCTGAAATAAGTCCTGCTGTCCTAATTGAATACCCACAAAGGAGTTGAGTGTCATTTAATTACACTTCTCAAAGTTGTTTCGGGTGTTTCAGTGTATAAAAGTACCCAATGGCTTGAAAAGCTTCTCCTTGAGAGTTATATTCTCAATAAATTGTATAGGAATTTGATTTAAGATCAAATGACACTTCTGTGAAGAAAGTACAAACCATTACCTTAGTGATAAATAGGTTTTCAAACCTTCATGTAGGTTGTTCATAGACATCTTTAAATATCAGTTTGGTTCATGTAGTAACTTTTTTGCAGCTCTGCTGAGGACATAAAACTAATTTAGTGATCACAGAGGATAACAAAGCAAGGTAGTGGAATTTTATTACTGCATCTGCCTCCCTGACCTCATGGAAATAGATTTTATTAGAAATCTTCCTCTGTCATATCTGGGAGAACACTGGGACACAAACTGCCATGGCCTTTTCAGGAGCATCACTAAGTCACCCCAGTCTCTGGGCACACCCCTGTTGAGATGGGGTGGACCACAGACTGTTATAACAAATAATTAACAAGTGTTAGTTTTGCAATCTAAATGAAATATTTGCTTGGGGAGAACAAATGGCTGAAAACGTGCACTTTTGGGGGGAAGAAATAAGTAGGAAAAATTGAGTATGATGTCAGAATCATCACAGCTTCATTCTGGGTGAGGGGTCCTTTCCTGAAGAGGGGTGTGGGTTTTGTTGGGGGGTGTTTTTTGGGGGTGAAATCTGTTCGTTTACTCAGGTGAAAGGATCAGTCTGAGGGGTTTTGTGTTTGTTTGTCCCCTTTGCTCCGTGCCTGTTGCTGTCCCTGTTCTGAGCTGTGCTCCTGTGTTGCAGTGGGGGTGATCCGGTGCCCGATCTGCCGCCAGGAGTGCCGGCAGATAGACCTGGTGGACAACTACTTTGTGAAGGACACCTCGGAGACCCCGAGCAGCTCTGATGAGAAATCAGAGCAGGTAAGGACTGGCCTTGCCCCAGATTCCCATTTTATTTCTGTGCCTGTTAGTGCTTCCCAGGACAATCATAGAATCAGTCAGGTTGGAAGGGACCTCTGAGATCATCAAGTCCAACCCTTGATCCAACCCCGCCGTGGTTCCCAGCCCATGGCACTGATGCCACATCCAGTCTCTTCTTAAAAACCTCCAGGGACGGAGAATCCCCCACTTCCCTGGGCAGCCCATTCCAATGGCTGATCACCCTCTCTGCAAAGAAATTCTTCCTAATATCCAACCTACCCCTCCCCTGGCACAGCTCAAGACCCAGCCCTCTTGTCTTGCTGAGAGTTGCCTGGGAAAAGAGACCAACCCCCCCTGGCTCCCCCCTCCTGTCAGGGAGTTGCAGAGAGTGAGGAGGTCTCCCCTGAGCCTCCTCTTCTTCAGGCTGAACAGCCCCAGCTCCCTCAGCCTCTCCTCACAGCACTTGTGCTCCAGTCCCTTCCCCAGCCTCGTTGCTCTTCTCTGGACCTGCTCCAGCCCCTCCATGTCCTTCCTGAGCTGAGGGCCCAGAACTGGACACAGCACTCCAGGGGTGGCCTCACCAGTGCTGAGTCCAGGGGCAGAATCACTTCCTTGGACCTGTTGGCCACCCTGTTCCTGAGCCAGGCCAGGATCCATTGGCCTTCTTGTCCCCCTGGGCACACTCTGGCTCATGTTCAGCTCCCTGTCCATCCCCACTCCCAGCTCCCTTCCTGCCTGGCTGCTCTCCAGCCCCTCTGGCCCAGCCTGGAGCTGCCGGGGGTTGTTGTGACCAAAGTGCAGGACCCGGCCCTTGGCCTGGTTGAATCTCATCCCACTGGAATCAGCCCAACTCTCCAACCTGTCCAGGTCCCTCTGCAGAGCCCAGTGACTGTGTCCCTCCACAGGTGTGCACGAGCTGTGAGGACAACGCCAGTGCCGTTGGGTTCTGTGTGGAGTGTGGGGAATGGCTGTGCAAGACCTGCATAGAAGCTCACCAGCGAGTCAAGTTCACTAAAGATCACATGATCAGGAAAAAAGAGGATGTGTCTTCAGGTGAGTGTTTGGCTTTCACTTTGTCCTGCCCATATTAACAGTGTTTTCTCTTTGCCCCATGTGATAAAAGAGAGGGAAGAGGATTTAGCTAACAACCAGCTCTCTGTGGCTTTCCCCAAGGATTTGGGAGAAGTTTACCAGTGCAAAATTAGTAGCTCTAAAACCTAAATTTTTAACTGAGTTATTCGTTCATACTTTGTACAGTTTCATGTCCAATGGACAAAATGCTTTTCAGTGTAGAAGCCAAGAGAGTGCAGCCTTTGGAAAGGATTTAGATCCATTCTTAATAATCCTGTTTAGTAGAACAAGTAACTAAATGAAAGGGTTGGAATCTGGAGAGCGCTGACATATTGATAATCCCATCCATTGGCAAGGAAATTAAATTACATGTTTTGCTGTATTTTGTTCTAAGGAGCAATTATAGTTCTCCCAGTAGACAAGTATATACAGATAAGCTTAGAGTCACATTCAGTATGATACTGTTGTATTGATATTGCTGAGTAAATGTGGAATTTGAGTTTATTTTAGGTTTAATCTCTCAGGAAGGAAAATTTAACATATGAAGTGTGTGTAGGATTTGTTTAGATATCCAGCTTTATTAGAAGTTAATTCTTAAATAATTGTTTGATTATATATAACTCGTAGCCTGTTGAGGGAATGTAGAAAATGTTCTCAAAACAGGTCTAGGGTATCTGGATTTTAGCTTAGAAAATTTGATTTGTAAATGGGTTAAAAGTTCTGATTCAAAGATCTGTATGTTCTCCCTAATCTGGATGTATATGAGGAATGATCATATTGAGGAAGAGAGATCTTTTGACTTTGTTCTCTCTCCATTTAAAATGAATTAAGATCTTCATGATTATTTTTTGTATCCTTTCACAGGAGCAAACACTGCTTTTCTTTCTGCCAACACTTGTCAAAATCATATTAATAGTTAAAAACTTTGCTGTTGAGCTTAGTTCTTTTAGACAAGGAACTTATTTCCCTTGCTCTAGCAAATAAACTTCACTTTTGGAGAGGTTTCTCTGTATGTCTTAATGAATAATTTTTTTAAAGGAAATATTACCCATTTAAGCTTAAATTTATTAAATCTCTAGATGAGAAGCCCTTAAATTAAATCAAAGTACAGGGCCAGGCAAAGAATTACTGATGTTTTTCCAAGGAGTGCTAAATTGTGACTCTTAAGGTGATATTATAGCTCAGCTTTCCCTTTGATAACCTGACTGGGAAGGTGCTGAAAAATGACTTCCAATAAAATAAACTTTCCATCAGAAATTCTATTTATCGTGGTTGTGTGGAAGGGCTGGTCGTTATTCTTTTATTCTTCTTAGACTCAAAGATGTGCCCTGGAGACTTTAAATTTTTCTTAATGAGTGTCAGTCGTAGATTCATCAGCTCTCTTTCTTCACAATAATTTGCATGATATAACAAGCTTCAGAAACATTGGAGACCGAGGGAGACATCCATGTTTTAAACCCTACCTGCTGCATCTTCCCAGGGCTGCTTTCCTCTTTGCCAAGCTCAAAAATATCTTTAGAAAACCGTGCAGCACTTTTTAGTAAACTCAGAACTATTTTTGGACATTGTTATTTGCTGAAGTGGAAAATTTAAGCAGTTTAGGTGGGGCTTAAGTAACTCCTGACAGACAGTGTTTGCTTTGCAGTTACCTCTTGGTTGTGTTTGACTTAATGGGGTGTCTAAAGGTTTTGAAGGGATAACTTAGAAAACATATGGGTGTTTGCCAGCATAAAGATTTGAGAGTTTGATCCATCCTTGAGCGTGCCAGAGCTGAAATCACATGGAATTAAATCTTTAACCACATGTACACCTGGTGTTTGTGTGCAGTTTTACATTCTTACAGGTGCATTTTTACATTCTTTTGGGTGCTTGGGAGAGGAATTCCTTCTTCTCCTTGAATAAAGTGGAAGCAGCTATAAACCACTGGCACTGTAAATCATGAAATCTTTAAGGTTGGAAAAGACCTCAAAAGTCCTAATGTATTCACAGTAATTTTAGGGTGAGAACAGGTCTGGAGTTGTCTGTGTACGTTCGTGGTTGTTACTTAGCTTGGAATTTAGTTGTTTTGCCCTTCAGATTGTCCAGATTTTATTTTAAAATACACAAATGGTTTATTTTTAAAAACAGAGGCCGTGGGAGCATCTGGTCAACGTCCTGTTTTCTGTCCTGTGCACAAACAAGAGCAGTTAAAGCTTTTCTGTGAAACCTGTGACAGGCTGACGTGCAGAGACTGTCAGTTACTGGAGCACAAAGAACACAGGTACAGATATTCCCATGTCTTAATTCCTGTGCTGTGCTGTCCCAGAGGGTGGAATGGCATTGATGGAAACCAGCTGTGTCATAAATACTGTTGCATTTCCTCTTTGTTGGACTGAAGTGATCACTTGCAGTGGAAAATGTGTGGAGTGGGACTTGAAGTGATCAGCTGGTTGAGCTTTGTCAAGTCTCTTAAGATCAGATTCAAAACAACAGGGGCTGAGGAGATGTGGTGTGGTTAAGGTGTGAACTTTCCCAGTGCTGTCACTCTGTTCAGGACTTGAATGGAAATTCCTGCAGCCCTGAGCACCTGGTGCTGTAAAGAAGCAGCAGTGAGTCATGGGTGAGGTCATTTTCTGAAAGGGCATATTTTATTGTGCAGTAGTCTTTCAGTGTAGGGGAATTTCGTAAAGGAAAGTCTAAATTTCCCCCTCATAGATGAATATATTCTTTTATTACAGAGGGGAAAAATGGTTTGCTTTTAGTTGGTTGAAAGTTGTTGCCTCATTCCAGATGAAAAGAAATGCTGAGTCTGGCTCTTTGCTGCCCCAAAAAGTTGGAACCTCTTAAGATACAGTAAAACTTCCTGCTCTTTAGGAGCTCTGTCCTATAGTTGTTTGAATGTCTGAACAAGTATTTGTCAGTGTTATAATAAAGAATCTAGAGATAAATATGTATTTATCAGCCACTGCACCACTGCTTTTTCTAGTCAGGCTACAAGTGACTCTTCTCTGTAAAGGTGCAACACTGAATTTAGTGTTGTTTTTCCCAGAGTAGTTGATTATTCTCAGGCTGCTACAGCAGCCTGTGGAGAACTTTTACTTTTGAAATTAGTATTACTAAAATATTAACAACCTGAAATGTTCCTGCTCTGTTCTTTCACAGGCTTGATCCTAAATATCCTGGAAGACACCCTTGTCACAAAGTGTGATTTTCTGGGATATGTTCACTAACTTGTTCTAGGTGGTTTCTTTGCATCTGTTCTGTGCATGTTGCTAATGGATTAACAGATGGATCTTGTTCTTCTTACCTGTTTATGTGATCCTTTAACGTGTGTTTAAGTGATCAGTGCACTTTCCTCAGCAAACTGAGGTTCCTGGTATCTCCTTGAGCTGCTGTTCCATAGCCTGCTATCCTGGGAAATGATGCAGTGCATCCCTGTGTGGTTGGAATTGTTGTTTCCCACAGGGGTTCAGTTTTATGGACACCAGAGAAGGATTTTATCAGCACTTAAACATTTTTCACGCTGATCAGCATATGCAGAGTCTGATTTTTCTGTGTGTTTTGTCATGTTTTTTGAAAATGTTACAGTTTTACACCTGAATTGGGAAGCCTTGGTTTCAGCCTTGGTAATTGGTGTCTTCTCTTGCGTGTTCAAAAGGTACCAGTTTCTGGAAGAAGCTTTTCAGAACCAGAAGGGTGCAATTGAAAATCTTTTGGCCAAACTTCTTGAGAAGAAGAATTATGTAAATTTTGCAGCTGCCCAAGTTCAGAATAGGTAAGTTCCTCAAAAGGATTAACTGTTACTTTGCCTGAATCACAGCAAGATGAGTGATGGGATTGGAATAACACATTTGAGTTGATTCTGTGTCTTTAGTTATATTGGACTTAATTTTCATAATGTTTGTTTTCCTCTACAAGTTGTTAAAAGAAACAAATATCAAAGGTTGTGTCTTCTGTGGCAACTTTGAGTAGAACCAGAGATGTGACACATTTATTACACTTTGGGGGGAGAACAAAAAAGGCAAGGAAACCCATCTTATGGTTTCTGCTTCAGTCAGCTCTAGGGGACAGAAGGGTTGAAATATTGCAATATTTTTATGTTTCAGATGAATGCCTCTGATAACTGTGTACCAAAACTTGGTTTGACTTTGAATAGGAAATTGTGGTTGTTTGTGGGGTTTTGTTTGAGGTTTTTTAGGCAGCTTAACTTAAGATTTCCAGGGTTTGCTTAAATTCAACGTCATGTTAAACAGTGAATATAGAGACAGGGCACGTGATCTCTGCTGGCTTTTCACCCACTTTGGTGACGTGGTTGTGCTGCAGCTCAGGGAATTCCACTGTGATTCTCGGTGGTTTTCTGAGCCTTCTGCAACTTTCAGGTCATTTGCAAAATGACACATCATCTGGAGGTGGAAAGTACAAGGGTAGAAGGACCACAGCTTTAAGGAGAAGTTCTGATGCAAATTTTTAACTCCTTGTGGTACCATGGACATTAGAAAAAAGTGTAAGGGAAGGAGAACATATGACAGAGGCAAATGTATGATGATGGAAGCAATGAAAATTGAAATTTTTATGTGCTGATTTCTGTGGAAGTCCTGTATGACCATACATTTCTCTCTCTCTTTTTTTTTTATTTTTTAAATTAGGATAAAAGAAGTAAATGAAACGAACAAACGAGTGGAACAGGAAATCAAAGTGGCAATATTCACCCTCATCAATGAAATCAATAAAAAGGGAAAATCTCTCTTACAGCACCTCGAGGTACAGTTTAAGAGAACAAGGAATATTCAGTTTCCAGTCCCCTCTTAAACTTGAAAACAGTTTGTTTGGTGTGACTGCAGGTGTTGTAATACTAATATTGCCTCTGAGTAGTGTGTTGGAGTTAAATCTCTTGTTTATCCTTTCATAAGAGCTTGTGGCTCCTTTAGTGTCTGTGCCTCATATTCAAAATCAGGCTCTTTGTACAGGAGTGTGTGAAAATCTTCTTTTCATGTTCTCTTTGCCATATTTCTGTATTATTGTGTAACTCTAAGGTGTGTGTAATGTAACCTTTTCCTCAAATAGGTTTTTTAAGGTTCATGTAAGAATAGACACAGCAGTCTTATGTATTTTTACATGAAGGTGTAAAGCTGGTATTTAAAGTTACAGAGATTGGAATAAAGGAGACAAAGACTTCAGGCATCCTTTCCAGATAGCACATCCTGAATAATATTTATATTCTGACTTATATTTTCATGGATTTTAATAAAACTTATTATTACTTCCTTTGTCTGAGAGGAAATCCATCATAAGAAGATAGTTAATTGCATATGGCCAGTCTGCCATGATGAAAAATTTAAGATCAAGTGAATTACAATAGATTTTTTTCTGGTTAAAGAACAATTATGTGGCAAGGAAATGGAATATTCCTGGAAGAAAAAAAATAATTTGATCATGAGTAAAAGAAATAATTTAAAATTACATGAATTTTGGCTTTTCTTGATTGCTTAATGTTTGTTACAAGCTAGAAAATTGCTCCCTCAGTTCTTTGCTGTGTTGCTGTGCCTTGGAAGAAATCGAGGGAGAAACTGGTCTTGTTTTATTTGTTGATAATTTTCTGGGATAAAGCAGAGGCTCTTCTCTGAGCCCACAGTCATCCCTGCACTTTGATACCTCTGGGAAGAATGGTGGAAGGGAATATTAGAGAATTATTGATGGTTCCAGCACTCTGAGAGTGAGCATTAGTAAGAGCTGCGTTGCTTGGGACATTTTCCTTTTGCTCCAAGAACTGGAATAGCCGTTTGCATTTTCCTCCTGAACCTGAAACCCCCCCGTTGTAATGAAGTTTTTGTTTCTTTGTAGAATGTAACAAAGGAGAGACAGATGAAGTTAATACAGCAGCAGAATGACATCACTGGTCTGTCCCGACAAGTGAAGCACGTGATGAACTTCACGAACTGGGCGATCGCGAGCGGCAGCAGCACCGCTCTGCTCTACAGCAAACGGCTGGTGAGGGCACCCTCTGACTGTCCTCTGGGATCTCCTGAGCTGGAAGGGATCACAGGATCATCCACTCCACCCCTGGCCCTGCACAGGACGCCACAAAATCTCACCCTGTTCCTGAGAGCGTTGTCCAAATGCTCCTGGAGCTCTGCAGCCTTGGGGCTGTGACCACTGCCCTGGGGAGCCTGTTCAGTGCCCCACCACCCTCTGGGGGAAGGACCTTTTCCTAATATCCAACCTAAACCTCTCCTGACCCAGCTCCAGCCATTCCCTCGAGACCTGTCAATAGTCACAGAGAGCAGAGATTGGAACTGCCCCTCACGAGGAAGCTCAAGACCCTGATGAGCTCTGACCTCGGGCTCCTCTTCTCCAGATGAACAGACCAGGTGACCTCAGCCACTCCTTGTGTGGCTGTGCAGACTGGACTGTACAGTTCAGAGAATGATTAGTCAAAAAAATTTCTAAGTATTGTTGCAGCTTCACTAGATCATATCCAAGGAAGAGGCAATGAGTTGTTCATGTGTCATTTAATAAACTAAAACCCCCCTTCTGTAACAATGGGATAGATTTCCCAACTTGAACACCACTTTTCATTTGTGAATTAAGGATTTAGGGGTATTACTGTAGAAGGAATGGGGTCAAGCTCTGTAAAGACACCTCAGTGTTTCACTTGAGTCATTGCATTACTATTATGATGTAACAGTGCTGCTCTTTAATCCTCGGAGTAAAAAGTGAGTTGTACAGTGGATGATTTTCCTGGTGAATTGAGAACTTTCCAGGCTGTGAACCAAACTTGCTGTTGCCAGTCCTTGTTGGTGTTTCACAGCCTAAACTCTCTAGGCAAAAGCACGCTTCTTACTTCTCTGTCTTTATTTCTTTGTCACCAACAGTGTGTTTTTGCTTTCCATCAGATAACATTCCAGTTACGGCACATTTTGAAGGCCCGTTGTGATCCCGTCCCAGCTGCCAACGGAGCAATACGTTTCCATTGTGACCCCACCTTCTGGGCCAAGAATGTTGTCAATTTAGGTGAGAAAACTGTGTGTGTTTGTTCTGTGTTACTTGAAAAACTTACTTGAGTTGGGGGTGTTCATCCAGCATGGGTGAGTTGGAGTGCAATACATCTGTTAATGCAGGAGACCAAAACTCTTGACATAACCCATCCAGTCCTGATGATCCTCTCTTTCTGCTCTGTTCTTTCTAGTAGCAAAGCTTTCTCAAAGGGTTTTGGGAACCACTGGGAATGGTTCTAGGAATGGCCCTAATCCTGGAATGGTTTGGATTGGGAGGGACCTTAAAACTCATCTCATCCCACCCCCTGCCTTGGGCAGGGACACCTTCCACTACCCCAGGTTGCTCCAAGCCCTGTCCAACCTGGCCTTGGACACTTCCAGGGATGGGGCAGCCACAACTTCTCTGGGCAACCTGTGCCAGTTCCAGTATATTGAAATATAATCACTTAGACTTTGTAAAGCACAGGTTTTGAATGAGAGAAGAGGGAGGTGAGACCTGTTAGCACCTGCCTGTGAACTTCTCTGTTGGGTAAAACTGCAGTAGAAAACCAGATAAAAATACCAGCTTTTGTGTGTACTTGCTGCTTGCTCTGAGTCCACTATCCAGGTTGTGGTGTTCCTGTCTTCAGTCAAGGAGGTTCATTCCCCAGGGCAGGCAGAGAAGGAAACAGGAAACTCTATAAAATGGGGCATGCAGATCCCAAGGAGTACATGTTAAGTCAAAAATAACATTTTTGCCTTTTCCCTTTAGAGAGGTAACATGGTCCACCACATTTTAGGAAGGCAGGGCTTGCTTGTAGCAGTTTTATGTCGTGTTTATGTAACCTGTTCTTAGTCCCTCAGTTGTGGGACACTCTTCACTGTCACCCAAATATCTCTTCCCAGGCTTTGCTTCCTTAGATATAGAAACTTTATGCTCAAAAAATTTTTTTCTCATCTTTTTTGTGGTGAACACAGAGCAGTCATCTCTACCTGTCTTGGCTCTTAAGACTATGCAGTTCCAGTTCTTTCACTCTTTCCTCACAAATCACGTTTTTAATTTTGCAATTTCTTCTTGTAGTCTGAGTTCTCGTTTTGTTTCTGTCACGTGTGGTTATAGAGACTTAAAAAGGAAATTTCAAGCTTGAATTGCTTTTTTACTGCCACTGAGGAAACTGCAGTAGAAACATCTGAATGTTCTGCATTTATCAGCCTTTGGGTGATGATGGAGTTTTAAGTGTTTCCTTTTTTTTTGGTTGGTTTTGTTTAGGTAACCTTGTCATTGAAAATAAACCAGCCCCTAGTTACACTCCTAATGTAGTGGTTGGGCAAACCCCTCCAGCAACAAACCACATCAGTAAAGCTCCAGGACAGATCAATCTTGCACAGCTTCGACTCCAGCACATGCAGCAGCAAGTTTATGCCCAAAAACACCAGCAACTGCAGCAGATGAGGATGGCACAGCCATCATCTCCATCCGTGCCCAGGCAGAGCAGCCAACAAGTCCTCCAGCAGCAGGTAAGTGTCTTTTATGTTGTTATTTCGCTCAAAATTGCCCTGTCAAATATAAAGTTAGAAAGCAGTTTATAAACTAAAATCTTTTGAAATTTGACATCCTTTAATGTGATGGCTCTTGGCTTTGCTTGATGTTATGTTACTCGTAATCCTACTACTGTGGGAAGAGATTGGCTTCTTTTCTCCCTGTTGAAAGCAAAAATTTTAAAAAACACAAACCCTTGCAGCCTCCCAGGTTGATCAGCATGCAGACCATGCAGAGGGGTAACATGAACTGTGGGGCTTTCCAAGCACATCAGATGAGAATGGCTCAGAATGCTGCTCGTATACCAGGAATCCCACGCCACAATGGACCTCAATACTCCATGATGCAACCTCACCTTCAAAGACAAGTATATCCTGTGTACACGCTTCATTTGTGCCATTGTGCCAGACTTTCATTCCAGTAGATGGTACCTCCAGCTGTAAATGTGTTTTCTCTGTCACCCCTGTAACTCCCAGCCGCACACATTGATATGCTCTGCCATTGCACGGTGACATTTCTGTACTGCCAGGTGACATTTGGTGCTGAAACCTTAAAAATGAAATGTAATATTTGTACTGCATTTTTAGTTCTGGGAAGCAGAACGTTTCCTTTGGCACTTTTCAGTGACATTCAGCTTTTGGGTTTCCGTAGAGAATGCTGAGGAATAGCGAAGCTCAAAGTGGTGTAGTCGAGGGGTTTTTATTGAACTAAATTCTAAAGTGGTTTTAAATTCAAACCTGAAGCATGATGCAGAGCTCTGTATGCCATTAAGAATAAAAATTATTGATGATGAATGTTAATGTGACTAAAAAAATCAAAAGTGAGTTTATATTACTTGAAACAGTCGCTTTTTTCTTAAAATTTATAGAGCGATGTATGAACTCTAAAGTTGTCTTTGGAGGAAGTAATTGCCTTAAAAAAAAAGAAAAAGAAAATGTTTTGGTGGAAGATGTGCTGTATATTTAAATGTCTAGGCACATAAGGTGTATTTTGCTTTCCAAGTGAAGAGAAACAGCAGTTGCTTTGCATTCAGTGCTGCCAGGTGACGGTGATAGAGGGGAGTTGGTGTGGTTTTGGTTGAGGTCTGTCACACAGTGCATGTGCTGCAGTGTCCCTGCAGTGCCTGCCCTGTCTGTAACACAGCCCTGCTCTCTGCTCTCTCCCTGCAGCACTCGAACCCTGGGCATGCTGGGCCTTTTCCAGTGGTTTCTGTGCACAACACCACAATAAACCCCACCAGCCCCACCACAGCAACCATGGCCAGTGCAAACAGGGGGCCCACGAGTCCGTCCGTGTCGGCCATCGAGCTCATCCCCTCCGTGACAAACCCAGAGAACCTGCCTTCCCTGCCAGATATCCCACCCATCCAGGTCAGTGGTGCTCACCAGGTACTTAGCACTGGAATGATCTGCTTCCCTTTCCATGTATTTTTTTCGTTTGGATACCAGTGTGCGTCTGTGGAATGATACAGTTGTCATTTAAAATTTAAATTAAAATCTTCAGCCCTTCACTTGGGCTCTTTTCTCCATATAGGGTTGAGCTGCTCCACCTGTTAACCTGTAGATTAATCAGTATTTAATGTGTGTCAGATAGTAAAATTGAGACTTTAAATAATCCCAAGTGTTAATTTCCTTTCTTCCACAAGACCATCCTGTGGGAAGGATATCACTAAAATAGTTGTGGAAAATACCACTACAATAGTTAAATAGTTGTGGAAGATATCAGTAGAACAGTTGAACAGTTAAGATATCACTAGAATAGTTGAATAGTTATGGAAGATATCACTAGAATAGTTGAATAGTTATGGAAGATATCACTAGAATAGTTGAATAGTTACATATTTTGAGTGTCCTGAATGGTGATTTATTCAGGGTTAAAATTGCCTGGAGCTTCTCTGTGATATTCCTAAAGGTAGCAGAGGCAGGAAGCACAGAGGGAAGGTGTCCCACTGCCCCACAGAGAGGGGACACGAGCTGAGGTAGATTTTGAAGTGGAGCCCATTTGGAGAGGTCAAAAGAATAATTTAATGTACATGTGGAGGCAAAGAAAGTAAAAGTAATGTGTTTTCTGCAGGAGTGTTTGGGAGGCCAGGGAGAAGAGTCTTCATCTTGAGATGTGTACATTGAAATGCCCATATAAAGCACAGGAGATCTGGTCATTGTACAGGAAACAAAACCTAAATTCCAGCCAAGCAGATGGTCTGGTGTAATACCAACAGCAACTCTGACATTTAATCTATAGAGTGTGAGAATAGGAGGAAAAAAAAGAATCACATCTCAGTGATCTGTGGTGCTGAGGCTTTGCTTACTCATTAGAACAAAACACAAGTGTGAGTGGCTGTGCCTAATTCATCTGTCCATGTGTGAAGTTCAGGAGACACCAAGTTAGAAATAGTTGTCAGTGGGATAGTCCAGAACATTCACATGCAGCTTCCAGGTGCACTGAAAATGCAGAATTCTGTTCAGATGCTCTTTTTTTATACCTGTTCATGCAATAGTTGTTGTGGATTTTAGTTGGATTTAGTGGATAGGGAGCTGTTAGTCCTTCAAGCTGCTTGCAGTCATTAAAACTTGAATACAGTGTGTTTCAAACGTTATTTGCAGTTATGCTGTCTTGCAGGTAATGGCTTTAAGCAGTTACAGCAGTAGGGTCCCTGTTTCTTTGGGTTTAACAGATACTGAAATCTGTGTGAAAAGTGAATGGGAGGGAGATTTCCCATCACATTAAGGACAAACTCATGGTTTCCCTTGATTGTGGAATAACTCTTGCAACATCACTGATCTGGTAGTTCATGACTAACACCATGTGTGTGAGTAACACTGAGCATCTGGGAACCAGAAAGTTTGGAATGACCTGGAGTGAGTGCAGCCTGGGACCATACTGGAAGAACTCTGATTTAGGAGCCTTTGAAAAATCTGACTTTAAATTTCTTATTTGAAAGCCTCATCTCTGTATAAAACTGATGAAAATGTTTGCTGGTGTCCCAAATCCTTGAAGGGAGAGGGAACAATTCCCATAAAGATGCTGATCACTGTTTAAAGATGTTCAACTCGAATTAGACCTCTCTGATTCAGATTTTTGTTTTTTTCTTCTTAGCTTGAAGATGCTGGTTCAAATAGTTTAGATAACCTGCTAAGCAGATACATTACAGGCAGCCACCTTCCCCCACAGCCCACGAGTACCATGAATCCCTCCCCAGGACCTTCAGCTCTGTCTCCAGGGTCATCAGGTAAATGTGTGATGGGTATTTGTGATATTTAAGTTGAAAACAATTGCTTACCATTTTTTACCAAATTTATTTAAAATTTATTTTGCTCAGAAATAGATTCTCTTGGAAATTTAAATTTTACCCTCCTTCAGAAAAGTTTTTATAGTAACAAACTGCCAGCCCATGAGTGAAGTATTCCAGATACATATAGAGATAATGTTTTTGTCCTGTGTTACCACAATTGGGGTTTTTTGTGCATCAGAGGACATAGTTCAGTTATTGTCCCCAAATGATGACTGGCTGGACCATTCTGAGGTTTGGGAAGTAAGTTTGTAGAATAGCTTAGTCACAGAAATACACCCAACAATCATTTGAGCAGGGTCATTCTGAGTATAACCAGTTAATGGTAGAGATTTCATTATGGATGTGAACAAATTAAGTCACCAGTACCCAAGGCTGAGTTATTTAAATATTGGAAATGTCCATTCCTATTAGAAAGAAGATGATTTCAGTCACTAGGAAGAAGTTTTTCCCTGTGAGGGTGGGGAGGCCCTGGCACAGGTTGCCCAGAGAAGCTGTGGCTGCCCCATCCCTGGAAGTGTCCAAGGCCAGGTTGGACAGGGCTTGGAGCAACCTGGGCTAGTGGAAGGTGTCCCTGCCCATGGCAGGGGTGGGACTGGATGAGCTTTAAGTTCCCAAACCACTCTGGGATTTCATATATGTTCCTCTTGGTCTTCTCTCCAAGATGCTGTGGATGAAGGGGTGCAGCAGTGGGACTTACAGTGTTTCTCAAAACTTGCATGCAAACCATTCAGAGTTTGCTTTTTTGACTTTATCAGAGCATAAAATTTGAGGACATGGTGGGCTGAAGGCTTTAGCACTGTTTGGATTAGCTGAAATAATTACTGGGTCTCTTACCAACCATGTGTTGTCTTTTTTTTATTTAATTTGATCTGATCAAATGACAAAGAACAGCTGACTTAGGTGACTTATTAGATTAGGATATTTTAGCAGCATTTCTGGTGTTACTCAACACTAGTCATTGTACTGCAGAATGTAAACTTGTACCAAGTCAACTTCTGTGCTGCTTCTTTGCAGGTTTATCCAACTCCCACACTCCAGTGAGGCCACCCAGTACCTCCAGCACAGGGAGCAGAGGAAGGTGAGTGATGTGTCACATTAACACTGCCAGGCTGAAAATTCAGACATGAAGAATTCAAAAAAAAAAAAGAATTAGCAGTGGATTAATAGGGCTTCAATATAATTATGACTCAAAAATGGAAGAATGCTTACATGGAGATTTATATTTTTTATTTTTTTTCCCTTCACTGTGATTCTCTGCTGTAAACTCGAGCTTTTGTAAATGTTCTGACGTGCTTTGCCTTTCATTTGGGAAACAGTTACCTAAATTTCTTTGCCCCGATGATTTTTCCTCTTATTTATGTGCTGGTGTCTTTCTAGCTGTGGCTCCTCGGGCAGAACTGCTGAGAAAACTGGTGTTAACTTCAAGGCTGACCAAGTGAAAGTAAAGCAAGAGCCAGGCACAGAGGAAGAGATCTGCAGCTTCTCAGGAACAGTAAAACAGGAGAAAACAGAGGATGGCAGGAGGAGTGCTTGCATGGTAAAGTTAGTTTATGTAACAATATGTCATGGTTGTCCTAGCAGCATGTTTAAGAATTTGGAAATAAAGAAAAAAAAAGGCAATTCTACTCATAACCCTCATTCTGAGAGGTGTTTTCTCCCTGGCAGTGCTCTGCCAGGCACAGGGTAGTCTGTCATGTAAATTTTATCTTTAGCTATTAAATACCCACAGTGTGGTGTGTTTGCTGCTTTTAATCCTTAGTTAATAAAAGCTATAAGTCACCTACTAATAGTAGTTCCTGGATATTCACCCATATGTAATTACATTCAGAAATCTCCCAATCAGTCAAAAGTTCTTATGCCAGAGCATAAATAAAATATTCATCCAAGAGAATATTTTTCGGTGTTTCCCAGCTATGCTTGATTTAATGGGATTGTGTTCTTGGAGCAGGGTGGTGGATTGGAGGAGTTTTCCTAATGTCAGTGAAAGTTAGTTTTTAATGAATGATCATTAAAGGAAAGATCATTTAGGGAGAAATTCTTTCCAGAGAGGGTGCTCAGCCATTGGAATGGGCTGCCCAGGGCAGTGGTGGATTCTCCATCCCTGGAGGTTTTTAAGATAAAACTGGATGTGGCATCAGTGCCATGGGCTGGGAACCATGGTGGTGTTGGATCAAGGGTTGGACTTGATGATCTCGGAGGTCCCTTCCAACTTGGCTGATTCTATGATTCTGTGATCAGTGTATTTGGCCTGAAGGTTTATCATGTTGTATATCAGGAGAAATGAGTGTGTTCTTGAAAGGAAGGACTCGTGAAAAAGTAGCTTTCAATATTATGTGCACCTCAGCTCTTCATAATACTTTCCCACTTATTTTGGGATATGAGTGTAGTACCTTTAAACAGTGGATGGCTTTTGAATTCCAGCACATGAGGGAAGATTCCCTTCTAAAATTGCCTCTCTCCCGCTTCTCGTTTCAGCTCAGCAGCCCTGAGAGCAGCTTGACACCACCACTATCCACCACCTTGCACCTGGAAAGCGAATTAGAAGCGTTGGGGAGCCTGGAAAACCACGTGAAGACGGAACCAGCAGATCTGAGCGAGAGCTGCAAGCAGTCAGGGCACGGGCTGGTGAACGGCAAGTCCCCCGTGCGCAGCCTCATGCACCGCTCGGCCCGCGCCGGGGGAGAGGGGAACAACAAGGACGACGACCCCAACGAGGACTGGTGTGCTGTGTGCCAGAACGGGGGGGACCTGCTGTGCTGTGAGAAGTGCCCCAAGGTGTTCCACCTCACCTGTCACGTACCAACACTCCTCAGCTTCCCCAGGTACGGGATCGCCGTCAGCCCGGAGGACCTGGGCAGAGGCCAGGCAGGAAGGGAGCTGGGAGTGGGGATGGACAGGAGGCTGAACAGGAGCCAGAGTGTGCCCAG